CGCACGTCGTCTGTCACGTATTAAGTTTTTTATGTCATCGGGGAGGGTGCCCCGGGGGTTTGTCAGTCGGGGGACAATAGTCTCCGTCGTAGTCTGAGTCAGGGCGTTTTTAATGTCAGTCTCAAGGGAGAGGATTGCCGCCTCCAGATCATGGGTGGTTTCGATGACTGGGAGCGCCATGTTTCCTTGCATTACTGTTCGGAAACGCTCCCAGTCAGTGAACCTCCTCGTGAAGGTGCCTTCATATCTCTGTCTTCGCCCCAGATCCAGAAATATTGGATTGTGGGCGGAAGACCCTTCGTATTGGGTGGATATTTGGGCATTTAACGGTATAGATTTTAAGAGGGCAATGTCGATAACGTCGGGGCGTCCTACGGGTCCGTAATGTGTCGGTTCTGTCGGTCCGAGTATAGTCAAGTCGTCGTGTCTGTCTTGGTAATTCAGCAGGACGCGACCTCTTGTGGTCGTCGTCCCGCTGTGCCATATGGGGGACTTCGCGTTGAAGTCCCCGATGGCAATTGTCTGGGGCCAGGAAAGGATTTTGTCTAAGTCATTGTCAAGTAGTGGTAGTCTGGGTGGGTGGTAACAGGACACCACCGCAACGTCTCCATGCCGTAGCGATCTCACCGCTATCGCCACGGCCTCTGTGTTTTGAGTTTGGAGCCGCTGCAGCGGATAGTGGTCGATGCACTTCTTTACTATGAGTGCAACACCACCCCCGTTACGGTTTCTGTCATGTCTGTATATGTCATAGTCAGGGATGGAGGTACGGGATGCCTCGCTGAGGTAGGTCTCCTGGACAGCCATAACGTCTATGTTTAGACGGTTCAAGATGTCCACGAGTTCCGTTTTTTTGGCCCGGAACCCGTCAAGGTTCCAGGACGAAATTCTCAGCGAGGAGGGTTGGGAGGGCCGACGAGCCATTAGAAGTCGAATAATTTTTGCATATTCGACACCATGGTCGTCAGCTGGACGCAGAAGTCCTGAAGACGCTTTGTTGCGTCAATCAGGGCCGCCGCGCCCGGTTGGGAGGGTGTCGTGTCTGTGTGTGCGTGTGGTGAGGTGTTGTGTTTTTGTTTTTGTGTGTTTTGTGTTTTTCTGGTCATGTCAGCGTATGTGCGTCCTGGGGTTGTGTTTGGGGTGGGTAGGAGGGGCTGTCTGTGTGTTTGTGTAGTGTTTTGTGTCGTGTGTGTGTCTGTGTTTTGTGTTTTTGTGTTTTTAGCTTTGGGGTACTGAGGGCACCCCATATAGCTGGCGGGGTGTGGCCCGGCGCAATTTGCACACCTGGCGGGCGTGTCTTTGGCCTTTTTGCATACGTGCGTGCTGTGGTTTTCGCCACATTTTACGCACTTTGGCTCAGCTGTGCACCGGGTCTGGCCGTGGCCGAACCGCTGGCACCGGTGGCACTGTGTGGCAACCCGCTGCTTTCGCTGCAGCTCTACTCGAACCACGAGCGAGCAGCAGCGGGTTACCTTCAGGATGTCCTCCTGGTCCTGTGGGGCCTGAACTAGGACCAGGGGCATTTCCTGTTTATTTTGACGGCTCGCCATGCGGTGCACTATTGCGCCGGGGAACCCTTGTCTTGCGAGGTCGAGTTGGACCTCACTTGGCGAAACACCCGCAGGTATTCCGCGTATCACCACCCTCAGCGTTTTTTCTTCGCTGAGGGTGAAGGTGTGGTACTCCTCGCCTTTGTCTGTCAGTGTCTTTGTCAATAGTCTGTGGTCATTAGGTGTGTTTGGGTATATGGCTATACCGTCTTTAGTCAATTTGGCTTTTGTGTAGTTAATGTTAAGTGTCGTGAGTATTTTTTGTACTTGTGTCCACCGTTCTTGCTTTCGCAAGATTACCGGGGGGACTTGTTTGGTTTTGTCTGTCTGTTTTTGTGTGTTTTGTGGGGTATTTTGTAGGGCGCTTGTGGAGGGTGTAGGTGTCGGGGGGCGCGTGTTTGGTGTTTGTGGTCGTGTTTTGTTTGTTTTGTCTGATTTTTTAAGTCTGGGGGCTTCGTCCTCGCTAGAGGATTCCGCTGTGTGTTTTTTGCGTTTCTCTGTGCGTGTGTGTGTGGGGTGTGTGTGTGGGGGGTGTGTGTGTGTGCCTGTCTGGGGTATATTGTCTGTCATTTGTTTGTCGATAAGTTTGTCGAGTTTTTGGTGTAATTTAGTGGTGTTTTCGTCCGAAAGTTTAATTGTTTTTTGCAAATCGACGATTTGCTGTGTCATGGTTAGTCATGGTTAGTACATCGCATGCAAGTATGTATTTGTTTAATTTGAGAGAAAAAATGCGGAGGATAGAATATTGTAATTTTGTCAAGGTTCTGCTTATGTTTTGGAGGGAAAATTGAAAAGCATTGAAAAAAAAACAATATCAACATATTATATTTATTACAGATAAGATATACTCTTACAAAAATAGATATATGTATAATATTTTAACAAAGTTATAGAGATTTGTAATTAATACTGGAAAAATTATGTTTGCTTTGTATCATACGTAAATACCAGGCACACTATTTCTAAAATAGTTGACAAGGAGGCAGATTACGATTCATGTCGCACAAATATGTCTTTATTTCAGAAAAAACTGGCCTCTTGTTGGGATCCCCATTCAGAAGCACATCTTTCGCGTAGTTATATAAGTCTGGGGGACACAGTTTGGGCTGTGCAAGTCTGTAAGAGGTAAAAAATGGAAATCAGAAATTGCAAATTAAGAAATCTTTCAAAATACATTATTTTCTGACAGAAGTAGAAGTAATGTGATAGCGGATATGGAAAATAGTCTACTTACTTGCCGGTCAGTGTGAAAAAATCCAGTATAATTTGCTTGTAAAATCCTGGTACTTCATTTGAAACCGAGATGTATAGTTCCCATATCAACAGACCCATGGACCAAACGTCGCACTTGGTTGTGAATTTTTTGGTATCCATCACCTCGGGAGCACAATACTGGTTGAAAAATTGTTTTCCCTGAAAAAATATTTATTTTGTGTAAATTGTATAATCAAATACAAGGTGTTTAAATAACTTTCCATCATTTACATACGATAATGCGTAGATGGCCATGCGATTTTCCAGACATATTAGGTGCTTTCGTTTTGGCAAAAATTGTATCTAATATCAGTTCAGAGCAACTCTGATAGCTGCTATTTTTGCCAAATCGAAAGGACCTACTGTCGTTTATTTTCATTATCAACAACTTTGACACCAATTTTTAAGGTTAAGTTCTTTATTTTATTATTTTTATAACTTAGAGCAAAAATTATATATTCAAAGCATATACATTCATGTTATAGATTCCTCCAGTATCGCCAACGTATTTGCACAGTCCGAAATCCCCTATCTTGCACTGCTTCTTTGAGTTGACAAATACGTTTCTGCAGGCCAGATCTCTGTGTATGTATTTCATATACGAGATATATTCCATTCCCGAAGTGACTTGAATCAGCACGTCTATTAAATCTGTTATATTGGGAAAAACGTTTTTCTGCAACGAAAAAATTGTGTTAAGATTCGTTGGTTATAGCGACACGAAAAAAATGGTGTAAAAAAAAACAATTCTGACAGCGAAAAATTATTGCTTCCTGGATAGGTTTGAATTAATTTTTTGCAAATTTGGTATTTAAATAAGAAAATAATACCCTTAAAGCGTCAAGTAGATCACCGTGCTGCATGTACTCCATTATAATCTTAAAAGGCGTTTCCTGGACTCCAAAAAATTTCACTACGTTATCGTGGTCAAAGTTTGTCATGACCTTCGCCTCCTCTTTCATCATTTTGACGAATTTGGAATTATTAGCGCCTTTCAGTGCCACTTTTGCTACACATCCGTCTGGTTTTCTTAAGGTTCCTAGTGTCACAAGCCCAAATGAACCTTCCCCTGGAAATATAAACATATAATTGCTACAAAATGGATATCGCGTAAATAGAGGGTAAGTTTATTTAAAAACAATGTAATTTTGGGCGACGAAAGGATTTCTGGCGCCTACCGCGCCGTCTACACGGGTCATTTCAACTGACGAGTCAAATTTTAATTATTTATATTTGTATATTAAGAGTAATAAATTACTATAGTCATATTTTCGAGGCGATTATAAAGTACCAAAAAAAAATTAAAAAAAAATTTAAATACAGTACGCGCCTAAAGTATGGAGTAAATTTAGTAAAAACGAAACAAATTTTTTTTGGGAAAAATACTCGAACAGGTCGATTTTTAATTTAAAAAATACATATTTTAGAATAAAAGGCGATTTTCAACCGTCATTTGTTTTCGAGTAATGACGTCATCGACATTTTTTTTAAATAGCAACCCCCTATTTTTTTCTTGATTCTGAAGAACGTTTCAGTGTCGATCTGACAGTATTAAAATGTTGCCATCTTACTTAGGAAAGTTTTCGAGTAAATGACGATTGAATGTTAGAAAACTCAAATCAATTAAAATAAAGCAAAAACGTTATCAAATTTAGTTTTTCGAAATGCCTGAAGTTTTTTTAGGATCACGTAGGTATAAATCTTTACAAAGTGTCACTGTCATACCGACTTTCCAAGTATTGTAAGCGATATAAAAATTATTGTTGAATTTAAAGTATTATGGGACATTTAAAAATTTTAATTCTTATCGGATGCGGGAATAAGACTAGAACGCAGTAGGAAGTTTACGATTTATTTAATGAAAAACATCCAGATCGCCGTATCAGCCAATCAACAGTCTGTAAGATAGAATGTAAATTTAGAGAAACTGGCAATGTTGTAGATATTTCAAAACCTAGACGTCCAAGCGTTAGTGAAGATCACAAACAACAGAACATTTTGATAAGTAAGGTAGATAATCCTCATAATACTTCATTAAACAATTAAATTAGTCAGACCACAGTGCTACGTATCCTGAGGAAGGAAAATATCATCCCTACAAAATTCAACTTGTGCATGAACTCAATGAAGACGATCCCGACCGCCGCTTACACTTTTGTGAAATTATGAGGGATTTATGTCAAGTAAATAAAGATTTACACCGGCAAATACTTGTTTGCCACGTTTTGTCTAAATGGTACATTGAACCTTCAAACTTGCAGGTATTGGAGTCTGAAAAATCCTCATTGGATGGCAGAGACACATACCCAACACCCACAGAAATTAAATGTGTGGGCTGGAATAGTTGACAACAGAATAGTAAGGCCTTTCTTCTTTGAAGGAGCCCTTACAGGAGAAAGATATTTAGAGTTTTTACAAAATGACCTTGTTCCAGCGCTTGCAGTAATTTTTCCTAACGATAATGACCCTGATATTCCTGACGACACCATATGGTTTCAGCAAGACGGTGCACCTCTCCACTATGCGCGCCCTGTTTGAGATTTTCTGGACAATTGTTTTCCTAGGAGGTGGATCGGCAGACGAGGACCAATAGAATGGCCCGCGAGATCCCCAGATCTTACACCCCTGGACTATTTCCTATGGGGCTACTTAAAGTCCAAAGTGTACGTTAATAGACCACATAATTTAGAAGAACTCCAAAATTGTATTATTGATGAAATACACAGTTATCCCCAGAAATAATTCATAATGTCCAAGAAGAATTTCTACACAGACTTGCGTATCGTCAAGAAGTCGGTGGGTTGCAATTCGTACACTTAATTTAGGTAGAAAACTGAATTGTATTTCGATCTTTCAGAATCAACAAAAAAAATAGGGGGTCGCTATTTAAAAAAAATGTCGAAGACGTCATTGCTCGAAAACAAATGACGGTTCAAAATTGCCTTTTATGCTAAGATATGTATTTTTTAAATTAAAAATCGACCTGTTCGAGGATCTTTCCCAAAAAAAATTTGTTTCGTTTTTACTGAATTTATTCCATACTTTTGGCACGTACTATATATAGCGAGCGATGGCGACAATAATGAAAATTTCCCTATTAAAGTAATTACAAATTAATATAATAGATGTCGCACCCTTCGTTGTTCTCGCGAATAGGTTTTCTTCTTTTAAATAAACCAATCACGGTATTTAGTCCCAAATTTCGCAATTCCTTACGTGAACTATAGCCCTTACACACACTTTTTTGCGTGTAGTTATATACAGGGCGTTACAATTTATTAGATGTAGGGATCATTTGTGATTGTGAGGTTATAATTTTCAATTTTTTATCTGTTTATAATAATGAATAATGTACCTTCATTTGTTTTTTGCTTAGCGTGTTATTGGTTGATATTTTTAATTTAAACTTTGACTCACCTAAGATATAAAATTCGTCGTTTACACGGCCCTTATCCACCGTGAAGCAGTCTAGGTCCGTTTGCAAATCCAGAGCACCTGAAATTTTCATTTCTTAGAGTACAATGTTCTTTAAAACGTAAGGTTAGATTTTTTGATGAATAAACTGAAGAGTATTATATGATACATAAAGCAGGATGTTTAAAAATAAATATCATTGGACATTTATCCTAGTAACATATGAATAGAAATTACCTTCAAAACTTCTCATTAAAGATTCAATTTCCAGATTGTCGGAAGGTGGCATCGTGCTGGTTACCTGCTTTCGGTGGCATCTTTTTCTCTATAATTTGATAAAAATTGCAAGATAAATGACAAATAATATACAGGGTGATTCACAAACAGTGACCAAAAATGAAACCTCGTTTTCTTTGGTAAATTTTAAGGGGAGTCTTTTCGATAAAGTTTTTATCTAAGACGCTTCATTAAAAAGATACAGGGTGTTAAACTTGAAAAATATTTTTAATTTTTTTAAATAATTTGAAAACCAGTAAATGAAATAATTTGAAATTGGGCACGTATATTTATGTAATCATTGTCCAAAATCTGAGATCTTATTCTAAAATTTATATGCTCCACTGACGGAGATACAGGATACGGTGGCAATTTCTTCTAAATAAAATAGTACGCCACTGCTTCACGGTAAGAATCATGATATTTTCGGATTCGTCTTTCAATTTTCTACAAATTACTGCTCTCTTATGTTTTTCGAAAAAAGCCCGATTTCCGAATAAAACTTAAAAACGAACTGAAAGCACCGGACTTCAACCCACTGGATTTATTTTTGTGGGTTGCTGTTAAACGGCTGGTATACAGTGAACAAATTAATACACCCGAGCAGTTAGACAGAGAGAATAAATAATGCTTGTCATCAGATTCAAGCAACAATAAATTCCGAACAAATTACATTTTCGTTACTAAAAAGACATCGCGCCTGTGTTCGTGGAAATGGAGATAATTTTGAGCATTTACTCAAATAAAATCATTAAAATGATGACTAAATACATGTGCCCAATTTCAAGTTATTTCATATTAGTTTTTAAATTATTTAAAAAAATTAAACATATTTTTTTAAGTTTAACACCCTGTATGTTTTCAACGAAACGTCTTAGATAAAAATTTTATACGTAATACTCCCTTAAAATGCACCAAAGATTACGAGGTTTTATTTTTGGTCACCGTTTGTGAATCACCCTGTACGTATATAGAAATGCACGTCATTTTCATTCTTATCTGTATCAGAACTTAGAAAAGCCCTTTATAAGGAAAGGGCTCTAATGTAACTTATTGAAAAACTTTTGTAGATGTAATTTTTTCATCAAAAAATATTTTTTTAAATGCTCTCGCTCATAAGTTTTACTAAATTTCTTTTAACCAGTTGTTTGTATCACCCCGTAGAAAATCGCTGTACGCATAACGTGGTTTAAGTAGTTCATAAAGCTATGCGGAGACTGTGATTTTGTTAACCCGATCAGTAGGATCACTGATCTTGTCGTTCAGAACATACACTACACATGATAAAAAGATACGTAAAACGGATTGTTAACGAGACTTTAATGTTAAATTTTACGTGGGTGTCGATTACATGTGCTATGGCAATCAAAAAACAGTAATTAGACTCATATTTATTTTTAAACACGAAAATTGTTCTTAAAATCCGAAAACAGTTTCCGAAAATCAATAATTTACCGTTACTTTTCTCGTTTTTTTATATTGAAACGAAATTCGGCCTAGTACCTATGCTATGCTTATACACTTTTGTTTCATGACATTTCCACAATAATTGTACTTCTGTTCTTAGAAGCTTAGAGATTGTCCAATACTGTTCTAGAAACCCATGGAAAGTTCGACAAACAAAGAAAACTGTATAAACGGCCACTCTGATGTGCGGCGGAATTTGTTTGGAAGGTTATGTTGATATTTGTTATTGTGAACTGTTAAAGATATAAAAATTGTGTTAAATAAAGGAAATTCGATACAATATGACATTTTGTTAAAGAAAAATTGATGGATATTAATATATTACAATTTTTGTCGGAATTTTGCGTGAGTAAGACAAAATTTTATTTACGCAATGAAAATGTTTGTTGTACCAATACCAAACCATAACATAACAGTGAATTAGGCTGATCCAGCAACTGTTATTTTGCATCATTTAACACGTATATTTCTCCCTAAGTGGTAACTTAAATATGTCTAAATTTTAGCCAAATCTCTTCGAAAAGCCAATGTATGTAAGCGCCAGACATGCAACGCAGGCGAGAGAACGTCGCCGTCGGGCCAACGAACACAAACAAACGCTCAAAACCCTTTTTTATTTAGATTTCTTTATTGAATTATCGGACACTGTAAGTGTCGTTCCTGTGAAAGCCATCTAGTTATTTAAACTATATTACCACCGCATTAAAATAAAAAATTATTATTAGAGTCTTATTCCCGTGTCCATAGTTATTTCTAGGCTTCTCGAGTGCTCAAATTTCAAAATTTTGTTTTTTTCTCAAATATTTCGAAAACTAATCATGTTAGCCTTGATGCTAACGCTACTTTGCCCCCATTTAAACTACTTCGTACCTCTTACCGTTTCCGAGATCCCTGTAGTGAGAAGCGAATTTGTAACAGCCTGTATTGTTAACACTTTTGACAGTACCGTTTCAAAATTTCGTTTTCTTCTAAAAGCTTTGTATTTTATACATGTATATTTCAGTCCTGAAAATGCAAACGTAGCTAAAATCTATCGATCAAGCTATATTTACGTGTTGGTCTTGGTCACAGGTGATGTTAGAACAACAAGAATACAAGACGTTTCTTTGAAAGACTGCATTATTGAATGATTTCAATATGTCAGGGTATGCGCTTTTTCAGTTCATAATATTTAGGCATATCGATTTTTTTTAGATAAATTTTGATTGTTTTTTTTATTTGATTATTCCCGCAGTGTTATCTTGTCTATGAGGTTTTGCCTAGATTTTTGTTATCTAAGAAGTTCATTAATAAATTTTTATATATAGGGCGATTCATTAACAATGGGAAAATCGAAAGCTGAAGATACTATACGTAAAATGGTGACCATTGGCGTAAACATGCCTTATCCGAAAGTTGTTAGTTTCGGAAATACAGGGCGTTGAAAGTTAAAATTTTAAATCGTTTTTTTCTGCGATTATTCTGAAAATATGTAGGTTAGGAACTTGAAAATTTGTGACACTATATTTTTTTAAACTCAGCGTTGCTCATAGAGGGCGCCACTTACGACCAATTTTACCGAAAATTTAGTTAATAACTTTTTACCTTATACGTCTAACATGAAACTTGATTCGAAACCTAAAAGAGCTATCATTTTTCCATTAATTATGTACTCTTGTTTCATTTCGGTATCTCGATGCGTTTTCGAGAAAAATAGATTTAACGAACACTATGTTTTGATAATACCAGAAAGTAATAGCAACAAACTAAGTGTTTCTTCATGTTATTACAACAATTAACAATAAAACAAATAAAATACGTAATAATGATTTAAAGTAATTATTCGAAGAATCCACCGTTGACACTGGTACATTTTACACAATGTTTTCTGAGAGATCTTCGAGTTTGAAACAACATATTGGGATTGCGTCTGACTTCGTTGGCAGCGATTTGTATTCTTTGCAACAAGCCTCCATACGAACCAATATATTCTTTGTAAACGATATCTTTCATTCGAGGCCAAATAGAAAAATCAAGAGGATGAAGTCTGCTCTTCTGGGTGGCCAAGCAAAAATGCTTCAACGGCTTGAAGAAGTTCTACTTTATTTAAGAAGAGACATGTGCGTGCATATTTAAATGTAGTTTTTCCAAATCGCTGGATTGGTCATGTAAGCATTTTTACTTGTCCACCCAGAAGTCCGGACTTCAATCCTCTTGATTTTTCTTTTTGGTCTCGAATGAAAGATATACCTAGTTTACAAAGAATCTATTGGTTCGTGTGAAGAGTTGTGCCAAAGAATACGAATCGCTGCCAGCGAAGTCAGACGCAACCCCAATATGTTGTTTCAAACATGAAAATATCTCAAAAAACGTTCTGTAAAGTGTATCAGTGTCAACGGTGGATTCTTCGAACAATTATTACTTTAAATCATTATTACGTATTTCTTTTATCATTAATTGTTGTAATAACATGAAGAAACACTTACAAGGAGAAGGTAAGGTAGTCGGATTTTTGTAATTTTTTATATTTATGGTATGTGTAGTTTGGACCTTGAATAAGAATTTTCCGAAGCAGTTTGACGCAACGTTCATAAATTATCGAGATCATCGATTTTGAAGTTTTATCTGACAGCTAAATACACTAGATGTGACGCATTCCTCAATTGGGAGCGTGGCCTAATTGGTAGCGTTCAAGACTAACAGTCACGAGATCGCTGGTTCGAGTCCATCGCGTGATATATATATTCTTTTTCAAAACGCACCATATGGTTTTTTATTATTTTTTTCATCTCGAAATATTATAATAAATACTTATATATATGTAGGAATATTCTTCAAATATTTAACTAAAATGCACAATTGGTTGATAAACAATATTTATTATGAATTAACAATAAGATTTCATTAAAAAAAAAACAAACGAGGTCAGGTAGGATGTTCTTTTATTTTATATTTATGTTAGTATTTGACATTTTACGCAGTGTGGTATGAGCCAGAATGGTAGCTATCATTAAAAAATGGGAAGCAGAAATTTTTTAAGCATCTAGCTTCCTTTCTTGAGAACTGTATGTAGGAATATTCTTCAAGTGTCAACATTTTGAGCTAGATTGTGTGGGTCATCCACCATGTTTAAAAAAACCGCTTACAGAACACACCTGCTCGGGCATAAAAAGTTTCGGTAAATTCCACAAAGGGTAGAGAAGCATCGAAACTGTGTGATGAAAGAACTATCTTTCAAAATATTAACGAAATTTGCTTCAACGTCGATATTTTGAACACAAAATGCGCCTGTAAAAACATAACATTTACACGACATGCTAGATGCTTAAAAAATGTATGCTTCCCATGTTTCTATGATTTTTATCATTCTGGCTTATACTACACTGCGTAAAATGCCAAATACTAAAAATAAAATAAAAAACCTACCTGACCTCGTTTATTTTTTTTAAAGAAACTTTATTGTTAATTCATAATAAATCTTGTTTATCAACCAATTGTGTATTTTAATGAATTATTTGAAGAATATTTCTACATACACATAAGTATTTATAATAATATTTCGTTTGTTCATAATTTTCGAGATGAAAAAAATAATAAAAAACCATATGGTACGTTTTGAAAAAAATATATATATATATATCACGCGAAGAACTCGAACCAGCTATTAGTCCAAGCATTATAGAGAAATGCTTACAGAAATTATTACCTGGACAAAAAAAATATGACCGTATAGAAAATTAAATTTTAAGTTGAGTTTCTTGTTCTTTAAACTCGATCCAATATGGCGAACATGGTTAAAAAAAATCGCAAAGTTGAAAAAAAACGGTTTTTCTAAAATAACTAAAAAAATATAGCACGGATTGAAAAATTTTAAATGAGAAAGTTGTAGGTTTTAAAAAGATCTATCGACTGATTTTTTGAAAGTATCGATTGCTTTGTTACTTTTCGAGATATATCGAAAAAACCGTTAAAAATCTTCTCTTTTCTCTTCTTCTATAACTCGTTTACATTTACGTGCCCATATTTGCTATTTACTGCAAGCATAGCCCGCGGCAAGCCAAAAAAGTACATTTTTGAAAAATTTAAAAATATTAATTATTTTTCGAGATATATCGATTTTTTGAAAAAAAGGCGCTCTCGAAAATTGGCTAGATCTTCTCAGCGGATAGCCCTACAGTAACGATTTTCGGTTTATTTTCTTCGTAAAGAGTTATATTATCATGCTGTTAAAAAATGTTGACGATTTTATTAATTTTAAGGATCAAAAAATGACTGAAAATGTTGCACTTTTTTTGGGTATGTTTTTTTCAAATAACTATTTCAATTTTTATTTTATGAAAATGACTTTTAAAGAAAGAAAACTAAACATTTACGGGTCTATTTTGCTTCTAAGGCGAAAATGCTATAATATTCGTGTTTAGCTACCCCAGATTAAGTACAAAAAAATAATAAAAATTGAAATAGTTATTTGAAAAAAACATACCCAAAAAAAGTGCAACTTTTTCAGTCATTTTTTGATCCTTAAAATTAATAAAATCGTCAACATTTTTTAACAGCATGATAATATAACTCTTTACGAAGAAAATAAACCGAAAATCGTTACTGTAGGGCTATCCGCTGAGAAGATCTAGCCAATTTTCGAGAGCGCCTTTTTTTCAAAAAATCGATATATCTCGAAAAATAATTAATATTTTTAAATTTTTCAAAAATGTACTTTTTTGGCTTGCCGCGGGCTATGCTTGCAGTAAATAGCAAATATGGGCACGTAAATGTAAACGAGTTATAGAAGAAGAGAAAAGAGAAGATTTTTAACGGTTTTTTCGATATATCTCGAAAAGTAACAAAGCAATCGATACTTTCAAAAAATCAGTCGATAGATCTTTTTAAAACCTACAACTTTCTCATTTAAAATTTTTCAATTAGTGCTATATTTTTTTAGTTATTTTAGAAAAACCGTTTTTTTCAACTTTGCGATTTTTTTTAACCATGTTCGCCATATTGGATCGAGTTTAAAGAACAAGAAACTCAATTTAAAATTTAATTTTCTATACGGTCATATTTTTTTTGTACAGGTAATAATTTCTGCAAATTTAACATTAATCCATGACAGAATGCTTGGACTATATCTCGTGACTGTCAGTCCCGAACGCTACCAATTAGGCCACGCTCCCAGTTGAACAATGTGTCACATCTAGTGGATTTAGCTGGCAGGCAAAACTTCAAAATCGATTATCTCGGTAATTTATGAACGCTGCGTAGAACTACTTCGGAAAATTCTTATTCAAGGTCCAAACTACACGTACTATAAATATCAAAAATTACAAAAATCCGACTACCTTACCTTCTCCTTGTTAGTTTGGTTCGCTTTTAATTTCTCGTATCATCAAAACATAGTGTTCGTTAAATCGATTTTTCTCGAAAACGGATCGAAATACTGAAATGAAACAAGAGTACATAATTAATGGAAAAATTATTGCTCTTTCAGGTTTTGAATCAAGTTTCATATTAGACATACAGGGTAAAAAATTATTAACTAAATTTTCGGTAAAAACGGACGTAAGTGGCGCCCTCTATGACCAACACTGAAATTGCAACACGCATCTTATTCGTCGCTTAAAAAAATATAGTTTCACAAATTTTCATATTCCTAACCTACATAGTTTCAGAATATTCGCAAAAAACGACTTAAAGTTTTAACTTTCAACACCTTGTATTTCCGAAACTATCAACTTTCGGATAAGGCATATTTGCGCCAATGGTCACCATTTCACGTGTAGTATCTTCAGCTTTCGATTTTCCCATTGTTAATTAATCACCCTGTATATTTGAATTGGCTTGAAATATCTAAAGTAAAGTAAAAACTCAAGGGCTAACAAAAAATAAATATATATCAAAAAATAATAATACAAGGATCATATTGGTTAATTCGTTAAATCACTTCTCAGAAAAAGAGAAAAAAATTGGAAACGGACCCAATTATTAATTGCCTAAAAGTTTAATTTATGTAGACAAGTGTTTAATTTTATGAACTATGATATAACGCTCGAATTAAAATAATTAAAGAAACAGAAAACAAACGACGTTCAAAGAAAAACCATTACTACTCAGATTTACAGTGCGTTATTCTGACCCGCCTCGTATAATAATTATTACTTACCGTCCTTCTCCTTCTGTTGTTTTTCGGCGGCATGGTGTCTTCTCGATGCAAAATACAAAACTATTGCTCGAAGCTACGCGAACTAATTTTATTACAAGCCAGTGAATGCTCGACTGGACAAACATAAACATACAGTTTTTTACGAGATAAATTCAACAACAACGTTATCGCTTCCCGGTGATTCACTCAAATACGCACTACTAATCGCCGAGTTGTGTTCAGTTGTTTACATTAGAGATATGCGGGTTTTACACAACGTAAGGTTCCTAATCGCGGAAGCTGTCTAGTGAGGGGTTCCGTCAGAAAGCGACTTCGAGTATGTTTCTTTGATATATTTAATACCTCACACTATGGCATTTTTATAACAATATAAGGTATAGCAGTGTCAGTAATTGGCCGACTCTTCATCTTCAGGCATTTCCAATACCTCATAACTTTGCATATATAACCGATGATATAAGTCTCATTTTTAGCCGTCAGAATCGGTTTAACAAATTTAAACTTCGCTTTTCCACCGTCTAACTCAATTTTTGTAACATTACGTTCTAGGCTATTTTTTTATCTTACTTAAATTAAATAATTTAAAAATGATTTTCGGGTATTTATCCCGCTTGTTTTAATTTTTCTTGGAATCTGAATCAGAAGAGCATGTTAGCCTGTGGCTCCATTATTTCGTGATAAAACTGGATTCTCTCTCGTGATTTAATCTAGGAATAGATTCTAAGAAGGATCTTCTTTTTGGGGTCAGGCTCCTTCCATTGTATTTTATTTGGATTTTTTCATGTGCTGTAATCTTTCTCACACCATTTTTTATATCTATATGTAGTAACCTGTTTCAAAGTTTAAATTTTGCGCGCAATTACATGGTTCGCAGAAGAAGAAGAAGAAGAAGAGGAGATCTTGGAGTAATGTGTTTTGGTGTTCTTAGGTTAGTTTAGAGGAGAAACGAGAGAGCAGAGATGGATGTGAGGTTAAGTCTAATCAAGCTCTCTACATAATAGATAATACTTGAAAATTTATTACATATACAGGTAACTGTAAACATAGTGAAACAAAATAGGTATCTATACGTTTACAGTTAGCATATAATTTTTGAGTTTTGTAGTACTTCTCTCTGGTAATAGGGGGACAAACTAGTATAGCGCAATAATATGTGATTCCCGTGTGAGCGAGTATACGAGTAAGTAATGTTAATTTTGTTATTTTAATAAACTTGTATTTAAAATACTATTGGATTGTTATTTTTGTACAACTCTGCTACATTGGATTTAAAAAACCTTAATATATTTTGAAAAAATGTATTACATAAATATTTCGGTTTTTTATGTTGCATTATGCAACCAAATATACACCTTGCGAGGCTCTTAGGCCATCTCACGGTTCTTTTATAAATCTCATGTTTTTGCAGGATTTTCTCATGCTTTGTTATTTAAGTGGCAACAGTGATGTAAATAATAAAGGTTGCTGCGTTAAAAATTATTAAAATTAAGAGTTTATAGAAGAAATTCAATGGTTCACATGGCTACTTGACTTTTTCAATAAAATTATAATTATACTTAATAACTTTATTATTAATTTATGAAAATCGCATGAATTATACATCTTTTTAAAGAGATTTCCCTCTTTTCTTCTAATGAGGTAAAAATTCAATATGGCGTCAATAACAAAAACAAAAGTTGACTACCGCTCAACACATTTTTAGAGATACGTTAATACTGAGCAATTCACACATTTAATGCCAGACTATGCATTTTTGTACTACAATTTTGAAAAACAAGTGAAATGCGGTTAAAAAATAAATAGAATAAAATCGATTTCCTTGGAATATCTTTGGAATTTTCTAAATTTAAAAATGAGTACCTGTTCGGCATAAAATTCTGCACATTTTTGTAACTCTTGAAATAAAAAAGATATCTGTACTGGCCAATTAAAATACTGTAACCCTGTATATCGATTCTTAAATATGCACACATATACAGTGTGTCACCTAACGAATGTTACATACTTCATGGATAAATCTAGAACCTAAATGGTACCGATTTAACCAAACTTGCTTAAACGAAATACAGTGTTAAAGTTTCTTTTTTTTTATTTCTTGTTTTCTCCTTAACTCAGAACCCAGTCAATCGATGTGAGCAAAAATTTGCTGTTGCTTAGTTTCTCTTCACGAAGTGTGCAGTGATTATGTTCCTTTAGGTTAAATCATACAGGGCATTCATTTTTCTACATCCCTTTGTGCATATTCTTCTGCAACTTTTTTGTGCGTTTAAATTTCTACACGCAACTATCAGAAATAGGTAGAGAATTTTATTAGCTCTGTATGACTTAACCTAATAGGAACATAATCCCTGCACAATCAATTCCCACTGTTAAGTACAGACTGTTTTCAAAGCATTGACTTCCGGTTTACCGCAACGCTCATCTCGAAAATCATATGGGCAATTGAATATTAAGTTTTTTAGCTAGATGCGAATAACGGGACAGATAATATTGCAGAAAACTACCGCTGCATAGGAATAACTAGGGGAGGAGGATGCTTTGAACATTTTTAAGGATAATTAAAAATTTAAGTAAAAAAAATGCTTTATTTAATTGTCCTCTTATTTAATATAAACAACAATAAGGGTATTCAGAACAACCAAAAATGGTACTTTGTCTTACTTCGATGTCTAACTATTTTCGAGAAACGGGGTCTTAAAAGTGCTCTGAAAAATTCATTAGCTGTACTTTTGTATTCATTATTTGTACTTTTTTTCTTTCAGAACCCGAATATCTCCACTATTTCAGAGGGAACATTTTTCGGGGGCTCCTAAAAGCCTCTATCTCGGAAATGGTTCAGATTTCAAAATATAAGACATAGTAACATTATTCTTGGTTGTTCAATTCGCTCCCAATGTTTGACAGATTAAAACTGAGACACAAGACACCCTGTATATAATAAAGTCATATTCACATATTTACGATCGGTGCCATATTCACACCTTTCGTTGTTAGCAAATCACACTGGTACATTTGCATTTAAGAACTCTACACTTCAATATATGATATCTAATACTGCACCTATATTTAGTTTCATAATCGTAGTCGCTACACCAGGATATGTGACCTGTAGGATCTTGTTGTTTCAGTTGGTACTTTTTAATATCGTTTTTGTATTTAGTTTCGTAATCACAGTATTACATCTGTACATTTGAATCTGCGAAGGATGTTTATGTTTTAAATGGTGTTGCGAGGGATCTTTATGTACCAACTGATGTTTAATTAAAAGTCTTTTATTCTTTGATTTGTAGTTGCAATCCTCGCATTTATAAATCGGAAGTTGTGAAGCGTCCTTATGTGCCAACGAGTTGTATTTGGTCTTACAGTCATACTCATCATATTTGTTTGAGTTTTTGTGTTTTATACAATGGTTATTAAAGCTAACCCTCACTTTTGTTTTAAAATCACAAAAGTCACACTCATACAATTGACCTGCAAATGCGCTTTTGTGTTTCACCTGATGCTTAGCAAGCTCACACCTGCGCTTTGTCTTGTAATTACACGATTGGCATTGATGCATATGTATTTTCGAAGGGTTTCTATGTCTCAACTGGTGCCTTTGATATTGTTTCTTATTTTGAGTTTCATATTTACAGGATTCACATTTATACACCTCTGAATCGTTTTCGTGTCTTGCACGGTGTGCCGTAAAACAGCTCTCGCTTCTAGTTTTGTAAATACATTTATCGCATTTGTACGATACTTTGCGGTCCTTTTTGGATTTCGTATTGCATTTGTTTGCTGGTCTATTCTCATGTTTACAATCGCTCTTATCGTATGGTCCTATATCGGAGCTTTGCAGTAGCGTGTTGCTGAAAAAATTACATATATTATACGGCATTTTGGTAACAATTTAATAGTATGCGTAGTTAACAATATACGCTAATTTAATTGTATAATATTAATGTAAAAATAGTCTTTTCATACCTCTTTTCTTCATCTTCTGATTTTATATCGACATATTCTTCTTTAATTGAGAATTCCATCTCATTAATTTCAAATTCTTTGTCCAGGTTTTCAGTCTTCACAAATAAATCACATATATATCTGTTGGACTTTCTGTGTCTGGACTATCACTAATCTTTTCTTCTACTTTTAGGCAATGTTTTAGAAAACTGTTGCGGGTATACAAAGAATCAAAGCATGAATTACATACAATGGGATTTTTGATGATACTTGTAATCTACAAGGTATAATTTTTTATATTGTGAAATACACAAGCATTTAATATCATTCATACCATTTCAGGAGCCAATTTCTCAATAGCTTCAAGTTCCTCTTCACGTATGCACCTAAACTCACTTTCTACTGGCTGCATACACAATCGACATATTTTCTGATTCTCTGAAATATCCATTAACTCGGTTCTCTCTTCCTCATCATCAAATTTCTGAAAATGCAACGTTAATCAAAGAAAATAACTGTGGCAGAAAGTAACGATTAAGTAAAAAATAGATTATTGTTCGCTTTGAACGTGTTGAGAAAGTTGATCGTGTTACATTAGTAGAGATGGTTGAATCCATTTCACTGTCTTACCAATTTCAGCAACAGAACATCTAGAATGTCTCTAGTAGCGTTGTCTATTACTTCATAAACTTTTATCAGTTACAGTATTAATACAAAGCCCACATAAAATTTCTCGATCACTATTCATGGCAACAATTTGCTTTGAAATGTAAATAATAAATATAATACGTAATTGAGTGTTTGTTTACATATTATAACCTTAATTAAAACATGAAGTAGACGGTTTTTGTTCTTCTTTCTTCTTCGTAACATCGGTTTACTATAACTACTTTCCAATAATTGTCTAGGAACAGTTCCTGATGTGTTCACCTATTGTTGTTGTTTTACTCTTTAGTCATTCCACACGTCACACGATAGCATCCAGATAGGCGTATTCGCTCAAATTACACACGAGCCGTGTCGTGGCACACGTACCATTAGAGTCATTCCACACGCCAGACGTCCCATGCCCTGTTCCATGGTACGCGTGTTAGAGCACTGGTCTTGTGAAATTTGAGCGAATCCGCCCAAATTTATATATTTTTTATTGTGACCGAATAGTGGAAATAAGGTCTTTTTATTTATATTTTCAACTATAATTAGTTCAAATTTATCTTGTCATTTTTTTCTCGTTCCATTTTGATTTATAATTTTTTTTATCAAATGTGTACAAATTTTCAATAAACGCACGAAATCAATTTTAAGAATCTTATTACGACTGGGAATTGGCGCAAGACTGTAAATAAATAGACCTTATTTCCACTATCCGGTCACATGAATAAAAAAATATAGATAGGCGTATTCACACGACCCATGGCACGCGTATCATGGTACGGACCGTGGAATGACTCTTATAATATTTGTATATTTGTATTCCTCTAAATTAATGGAGTATTTAGCATGTTACCAATGTAATTCAGTATAAGAAGAAGAAGAGAAATATAAATGTGGTTATGTAATCGTTTTATTTTTTATTGATTGTTTTTGACAGTGTCGTTCGTTATGAATGTTTCCAATTCCTGATAAGAAACACAATAAATATGGAAGCAACAATCTTGGAAGAAACATTTTGTAGGTTGTGCCTAAATACTATAAGAAATTCAAATTGCCAGGTGATAGAGGAAGTCATAAGAGATGTTCTGAAAATTGTTTTGCCGGATGTGGTAAGATCAAGTTAATAAGATTTCTTTTATGTCCCTAGCGTAGCTCCTTTATACTTAATTAAAAATCTGTTTCAGAATTTGGAAGAGGAAGTTAGACATTTCATGTGTACAACATGTTCCGTAAAATTATTTGCTGCTTTTAATTTTAAGTCTGTATGTATGGATACGGAAGACTTAATTTTTCCTTATATTAACGCCAGTAAAATGTCAGCGATTGATTTAAAGGATGTTTATCTAAAAGAGAAGGAAAATATTCAGTTAACCGATGTATCCCAAAGTTTGAGAATCTGTCGATTATGTTTTCAGCCGGTAACTTACGGATTTGTGGCATTAAATGAAGTGGATGTTGACATAATCGATACATATATACCACAGGTTGTAAGTTATATTTTAAAGTATTTCCTAAGAAAATATTTGTATGCGTCAGAAAATTATCATTTCCGTAAGTGAAATTTTTAATTAGCGTCGTATAAACAGAAAATATTTATAAAGTCGTTAAATGACCTACTAACTTTTTTATTTGTCATACACATTGAAAGACGTCTGCTTTTCAACTTTGCTCTGAATCATGATGCTAATATTTTTGTAATTGTAGAATATCAGTGCTATCAGGGATCCTGTCATATGCATAGCATGCTTTGATTCGCTTTGCACCCATGGCACTTTTTTAAAGAACTGCCTTGATGCACATGAGAAATACACAAACGTCTATCAACAGTCTTACATTAAAACTGAAGAAATTGAAATAAAACTGGAAGATCATCAGGAGGGGTAAGCAAATATCTATAAATTTTGTATTTTAATAATTTATTGTACTTTTTTTTCTGTATCTTTATAATGTGGTATTTCCTAAATAATGATTTAGAAAATTTAAAATTTTAAAAAACATTTTTGATATAAACCTGTTTTAATTTTGAAAATGCTGGTTTTGACTTGTTGTCTCATGTGTGATGCCTTTGTTTCAAACTTAACCTTGCCCCGGTAGTCCCAGCTAAGTGTTTTTTTTTTGCCACACAAAAATGCATAACGATAGACAAACTCAAATTTGCACATATTTCTGCCTACTCTATAGGCCATCCAGATACTAAATTCAAGCAGAAGTAAAATAAAAATGAAGTAATGGATTTATTTAAATACTAAACATTGTATCAACTGTTAACTTCATCAGGTCATCCGTGGACAATCATCGTCAATATTGCAAGATTATTGAAGAGATTGGGGAATAACTTTTAAATAATAACCTTTTTATACTTTAATCTGCTGGCAACAAACTGTGACTTTCCTTTGATTGGCTGATGTTAGAAATGACGGGAAACACTGCTTTATTTCGGCGCAGTACTATTTTCACATATATGATTAATAATTTCAGAACTTTTATTAAGGTGATTTTTTGTAAATTCCAATATTTTGGCATCGCCTATAATCTCTTAAAAACCCCGATTTTCAAAAATACCCTGTATATGTAATTTTTTCAGCGACAGGCTATGGGACACCTCCGATGATGAACCATTGGAGACGAGTGACTGTAAAGATGCAGAAGAGGATGGATGTAAACATGAGGATAGAGCAGCGAACAAATGCAACGTGAAAATAAAGAAATGTGATAAATGTAATTACGAAACTGGAAGCGAGAGGTGTGCGAGGCACGAAAATTATTCGAAAGTGTATAAATGTGAATTGTGTGAGTATGAAACTGAAAATAAGAAATTACTTCAGAGCCATCAGTTGAAGCACAAAGGCCCTTCGGGAATAGGGATGCATCGGTACCAATCATGTAATTACAAGACAAAGCCCAGGTCTAACCTTGCTAAGCATCAGGTGAAACACAAAGCACTATTGTACAAGTGTAACTTCTGTGATTTCAAAACGAAGGGGAGGACCAGTTTTAATAGTCATTATTTAAAGCACAAAGACTCAAACAAATATAATGAAAATGATTGTAAAACCAAATCCAAGGCATTGCCGCATAAGAACACATCACAGTTGCCAATTTATAAATGCGATGGTTGCAGCTACGAATCAAAGGATAACAGTAATTTCATCAAACATCAGTTGGTACATAAAGATCCTTCTCAGGTCCAAATGTACAGATGTAACGACTCCGATTATGAAACTGAATGTAAGAATAATATCAAAAAGCACCAGCTGAAACATAAAGATCCTTCACAGATTCAAATATACAGGTGTAACGACTGTGATTATGAATCTAAGTACAAGTACCAAATCAAAAAGCACCAACTGAAACATAAAGATCCTTCACAGATTCAAATGTACAAGTGTAAAGACTGCAATTTCATAACTAAATACAAAAATGTTATCAAAAGGCACCAACTGAAACATAAAGATCCATCACAGATTCAAATGTACAGGTGCAACGACTGCGATTACGAAACTATACACAGCAGTGGCATCAAAAGTCACCAACTGACACATAAGGATCCTTCGCAGGTTCAAATGTACAGGTGCAACGACTGCGATTACGAAACTATACACAGCAGTGGCATCAAAAGTCACCAACTGACACATAAGGATCCTTCGCAGGTTCAAATGTACAGGTGCAACGACTGCGATCATGAAAGTAAATGCAAAGGTGATATCAAAAAGCATCAACTGACACATAAAGATCCTTCCCAGGTTCAAATGTACAAATGCAACGACTGCGATTATGAAACTAAATACAAGAATAATATCAAACACCATCAATTGACACATAAAGATCCTTCGCAGATTCAAATGTACAGTTGTAATGACTGCAATTTCAAATCTAAATACAAGTTTGTAATCAAAAAGCACGAGGTGAAACATAAAGATCCTTCCCAGGTTCAAACGTACAAATGTAATGACTGCGATTTCGAAACTAAATACAAGTATACTGTCAAAAATCACCAACTGAAACATATGGACCCTTCACAGGTTCAAATGTACAAGTGTAACGACTGCGGTCATGCCACTAAATACAAGAACAATATGAAATATCACATGTTGAAGCATAAAATTTTCTTGTAGGTCTAAACATTCAAATGTAATGACTGAGAATATGAACCCAAATAAAGGAACTGTATCACGTGTCGAAGCATAGAGAGCCTTCTCAGGTGCTAATCTGCTAATGTACCAGTGCGATTTAAAGTCTGCAGGTGTGAGTTACTGCCCATCGATGTGCAAAATATATTCAAAAATGGAGGTATTTAAGAGCTACAAATGTGATTATGACACCGATCGTAAATATTGGAGTAAGATGTAAAACACAATGTCTGCCTTGAAAAACAGTCGAAACAGGAAAACTACACTGAAACAAGAAGGGCTGATAAGTGATTTGTGGAAATCGCTAATTATGGACTTTTCCTGTTTCTAACAATGTAATCTGCTAATTGACATAGGATTATAATTTTGACACGTGATATTATGTTAAATGTGTATATATATTTCAAACAACGACATTGTGTACTGTATAAACCATATACAGTGTAAACTCTTTATAACGTCGCTTGTTATAACGAAAAACTTCCTATAACATAGAAATTAGGTCAAGTTGGTTGGTTTACGTTAAAACCCATACATTAATACACTCTTTATAGCGCAACAGCCATTCTCTATTATGAAGAAATATGGTCATATTTAGACGCCAGTAGATATTTACAGAAGTATTTAATAGTGTAATTGTTTTTATAATCAGGCACCTATTGTGTAATATCAATCGTAAACCTACTTTGAAACTGTCAAGATGGCCAGTAAAAGAAAAGCGTTATGTGTTAACGAAAAAGTTTGATATGTGCGATAGAAAAAGGAGAAAAGTAATGTTGATAAAATATAAAACAAATATTGGCATAGCAAACAACGTCAGGCAAAGTTAACAGAATATATGTGTTTGGAATAATTTAATTACCTATTGAAGGTACATAATAAAATTGGAAATTATTGTAATTGGTGAAATTTGGTTATTTTTCCTTCTTCCCTCCATATAACAAAAACTCTATAACGAAAAAAAAATCCGCGGTTCCTTAAAATTCGTTAAAAAGAGTTTACACTGTAGTTAATAAAATATATAGAATTAGTATGTTTTCATTATTGTATATGTAACTAACCTCACTTATACCTTCTTATGTCTCAGCTATATGTATTAAAAACCTTATTTTATGATGTCGAGTAGTTGTTTAGTTTAGTTATCTTGTTCTTGTGTATTTTATTAGTGATTATTTATTTATAAGTAATACTATACCCAACAAATAGTTAATATGTTAATGAACTAAAAATTATAGTAGACTTGCATTTTAAAATACGTTTAGAAAATAAATATGCTTTCGTAAGTTTTTGAATAAAATTTATAAAATTCAGACCGATATAATCTAATCTAAATTATTTCTGCTGGAATTCAAATGACAAACCTGTATTTAACCAAGAAATGTAAACTTTTCTTAATAAAAAAAAAAATCAATTTTCGTGTAACACTACAACATAGCTAACAATCTCTTTGTTACCTTGGATTACAATAATTAATACGAAATTAATGTATAATAATTAAAAGTATTAAAAACCAGGAAAAAGAACAGGTTATGTTTACTATACTACTGGAGGTAGCATGCCATTGCGAAAAGTGTGGCTGAGAGACAGACAGTATCTCAGACGCGCTGTCTCACTCTAGCACGCCGCGATTGGTTGGAGCATTCATTTCCAACCAATCGCGGCGTGCTAGAGTGAGACCGCTTGTC